TGGGCCCTTGGGGGCTTCCTTGTGCCCGAGGCATCAGTGCCCAAAACAGCTTTCCCTGCCAGTTGGTGGAGAGGAAACCTGTGCCCGGAGGAGGAACCTGTGCTCAGGTTTGGAAAGCACAGAGAAACCAAGACAACTTGTTGGTCCTTACGGGTTTGAAACACGTTTTGTGCTGGTGTTGATGTCGTACAAACCACGCTGGTGGAGCAGAGAAAAGGATGACTGCTTTAACCACTCTGAAGAAAAAAGTTCTGCTATGTATACTTGTAATCTCACAGAAAATCCAGTTTATTCTTTATAGGTGCATATTCTTATCCAATGGATTGAGTGCCTACGCAGTGAAGAGACATTGTGTTGCCAGAACAGTATTTGGACCTCAAGCAGGTTTCTATTTTCTGTTTAACAAGAACGTGATTTTTATATAGCATTAGTTTGACCAGAAAGCATTTAGTTTGTGCTTCCTGCGGTAAGGAAGTCAGTAATCATACCCTTGACTCTGGCTTATATCTCATTATAGCAATTTCAAAGCCTGTGGGTCATATAAAAGTCTCCACAGTGACAGATTTTGCCAAAAATACTTTTTTAAAAACAAAGATCTTTGTCACTGCACTACTAAGTCCTTTTGCACTTACAGATATTGGTACATTTTGCAGCTCAAGACTAAAAAAAAAAAATTTTAAAGCCTGCAAATTTAAGTTTTCAGAGTAAAGGGTCATCACTGCTGGAATCTGGTTTCCCCCAGTGTCTTTCTCCAGAAATCAATGAGCATCTGGGGTACAACTGTCCTAGCGGGGTTTAAATGGGACAGACATCTAGGTATCTAATGACACAGATATATTTGCTTAAAAGTACCTTAATACATTTTAACCACAGACGTGTGCGTAGGAAGAGGACTGTGGGAACATTCTTTCCTTTTCTTTTTGATAAAGAACAGGTACGTCAGAAACCAACATGTTAGATATTAGAATTGTTTTTTTTCTGAGTGTATTTCTTCCTAATGGTCTCAGCTGACGTAAGTCTCAGTAGGAATATAATAATACAAGTGCGAATCTTTGACTTCAGGTGGCACTTACCTGCTGAGCACAAGAGCTGGCCCAGCGTTGGCCTCCCAGGGCTTTTGAAAATGTCAGATTAAGTTCTGGGCTCTCTGCATTTCTCTTAAATATTTAGCTTGTTCCCAAAGGCTCGTGCAGCATTGTTTTGGGATAAAAACACCTGTAAAGCAAAGTGCTCCCAGTTTCAGTTGTATGTTAAAATGCATCGCATTTTATTGCATTTAATGCATTGCATTCAGAGAAACTGCCAAAAGCAACCGAAGCTTTCTATGTGTCACTTAATGCAAGTGAAAAGTATGGAATTAACTTGTTAAAGCCAATAAAAGTCATCTTTTTGTGCAAAAACCTATTCGGGAAGACTTAGTGAACAGAGCAGTGCAAGCAGTAAAAAAAGGAAATAACAATTGCCCTGTTAGCATTTTTTTTCCTTTGATGACCTTCCTGTAGCCAAGGGCTTGACACCTGAGGCAGTTCACACGGAAAGTCAGGCCCTTTCCCAGGAAATGGCTGGGAGCTTCCTGAGCCTGTTGGCATCCACCAGTGCCCTTTGCAAGCCACGTTTAATGCCGCCTGCTGATGCAGGATTGCACAGCTGCAGGTGCTGGGATTAAGGGGCTTACCCTTAATGGATGCCACCATCCCCACCAGTGCCAGCCTCCCACGCGTTGGCTTCTCCGTTCGTATCGGATGGTGAGCGACTCCCGGGATATCCGAGCACGGTGTTGCTGCGCGCTTTGAAAGTCTGTCTGCCAGTGAATTACTTAAAAAGCTCCGACGCTTTCTGGAGAGAGCAAAATCCTTCATGGCCCTGCTCCAGTTGAACATTAAAGCTGCATTAAAATGGAGATGAATGGTCCTAAGAGGTAAGAGGTGAGGGGTTGCTGAGACAAAGTTTAAAATCATGGAAATCAGGGGAGCACAACAGGAGTCATCCTTGGCAGGAGACACCCTCCGTGTCTTCTGGACACCACTATGACCATTATTTCTTAGATAATATAGGGAGTAGAATCTTTTTGTTATATTTTTGTTTTTCCTTCACTGTATTTTCATTACTGTTTTCATTATAAAAGCAGTGCACATGCTACTATATGAGCTCTGGAGTGCATATCTGCAGGCAACTAGCAAAGGGACATTTCCAGGCAACATACAGGTAATGTTTTTCTTCAGCTCTCCACCTGATGGAATTAGCCACGGTGGTAGCAAGAGTCCTCATTGCGTTCTTCCTGAAGAGCTTTGGCTAGACACAGAAATGAAAGACTAGTTCCTGCTCCCTCAGTAATACAGTCATTCCTCATGCAGCCACATTAACTTCACTGATGTGAAGATAAGTCATTTCTTTCGCATGCCGTGGGGAAGAGGCAGATTTATTAAAGATCCTCTTGTAATTCTTTGCCTTGGTATCACGTCACTCTTTCAGGGATGAAAAAAAGAAAACAAATCCAAAACTTGCTGTCCATGGCAGTCGAACTGTAGTGACCCCTTGCAAAGCTCCTGGGCATCTTCTGGGGCCAGAGGAGCATTTTTTCTCAGTCCCAGAGGCAGGTGAGACCTCCAGGCTGGCCAGTTGTAACCCCATGGTATTGGGAAGGTGTAAAATGGCAGGAAATGGCTTTTCCCCCAAAATGCAGTCATTCTTGCAAATCTGTCATGAGGATTTTCCAGACAAAGCACAGGTACCTTCTCAGAGGCCCTTTATTGTGGTGATTTAACCTACATCACTAACTTGGCAGGAGGAGCAAGAAGCTTGTTGATGCCTTCTGCGGTGGGTACTGGTTTGGGAGCAGAACAGCTGTACACTGAGATTGAGGAAGCGATTAGAAACGTGGGCTGATAAGAAAATGAGATTTGGTTTAGGAAAACAGGCTGAAACAACTGTGGAAAAATAACGCAAGTTGCAGGTGTCACAGAAAGCTGTGACACTGGAAGAAAACTTGTCTGGGAGCAAATTAAGCAAGTAGTGAGAGCAAAAATGTTCTGTGAAGTTTCTTTGACTGCTTCGCGTGGACCTCAGAAGGTGGGAAGCGACTGTGTTTTTGGCCCCAGAAAGAGACATCCAAACGCCACCACCACAAGATCTAATCAGCAACAGTTGTAAAAAAAGCTGCAAGTTGAAGTTCAGGTAGAAGTTTATTTTTGACTTTTTAAGAAGCAAGCCGTGGAAGTAAGGAATGCAAAAGATACTACAGTGTGTGGCTAATGACATAATGAGCAGCACAGATGATTGGCAAAAAGGGAAATAAAGCAAAGAAATGCAGCGGAAAGTGAGACGGTTCGTCAGGTAGACTCTATAAAAAATGGGTTTTAGCTCTTGATAAGTCTGGATCTTTTTTAAACAAACATTAATAAGCATCTCTGTGTACTGTGACACAAGGTCACCTCGTGTGCTGGCCCTGGTATAACATTCAGGACTGGGTTAGGAACAAGATACACATGTAGATAAAGTGAAAAGGGCACACAGGTTTATGCAGCCTTAACATGTGCTGCAGATAAGACATATATCCCTCCTTGTAGCTGTGTGAACAACACATCCAGCTCCCGTCCATACTGGAGGGTTTTGGTGTCTCCTTCGCCCTGTGCTACTCCCTGGCATTTCTTTGTGGAGCATGGAGACCCCTACAGACAGGATGAACCCCATACAGCTGTGAGTGTTTGAGGAACAAAACTGCCCCCAGCAGAGCAGTAGCAATGCTCTCTAGTATTTCAGCATCCATGCACTTTATTTTTTAATTTTTTTTTAAGCCTCATACAACTGCTGGCATTTGAGGGCCTGTACACATAAGCCAGCAGATGCAAAGTCGTAAATACATATTTTCTATAACATAACTTTGAAGCCCTCTGTGCTCTCCGCTTGTCTCCAGGTCTCCTGCTTACCAAGGAAGGCTAGCAATAGTCTGCTGAGATGTGAGACTAGCAGCTGAAAGTGGATTGGTTTTTTGAGGTTTTTTTTGTTTGTTTGTTTGTTTGTTTGTTTGTTTTTTGCTTCTGTGGAGCTAGAGCAGGAGGCTGCCCAGCAGAAGATGGACATCTCCCCTGGGTCCCTCACGTTAACAGGGTGATGCTCGTTAGGAAGATGACAGTCCCATGGTGTTTGGGTCACCTGCCAGACGTATTTCTGGGGCTTAGGAGCGCCACTGCCAGCTAAGGTGTGTGTTAAACACCCTACAGCACAAACACAACTAAACCACAGTCCTGAACTCTCATATGCCTCTTCCACGAGATGGAAAAAGTGTGGGGCAAAGATGGAGGCATGGGAGCATGTGGAAATTAGCCTTGGCTTTAACCCAGGCTTCATGGAAAGCATGAGTCCAGGTTTGCAGGGGAGACCCATGACTCACCTCCACCTCTTCCTCCCATATTTCTTTCTGTGTGAAAGTCCCTCCTCCAGCTCCCTGCTGGAAGGAGGCTTGAGCTAACAAGGGTTTTGAGCTCAGGACACTCCTGAAATCCTGCACAGGGACTAACCCTGCTACCTCTGACACCTTCCCCTCCACCGATCCACCTACTGGCTGTGATGAGGGATGTGTCCGTACAGGAAGAGTCTGGAGCATCAGCTATTTTGTAAGCCTTGCTGGGACCCCCTTTGTTTGAGCTCCTTCTGCAGCTGGTCAAGTGGTGCCCTTAAAGCTTATTTAATAGTAACAGTAATCATTTTAGAGCCCTTCTTTGAGAAGGGAAAAAAAAAATGCAGGATAGTCTTTGTAGCAACATTGCCAGGCTCCACAATAGCTCCCATCTTAATAAATGGGATGCCATGATTCCACAAAGTGAGGACTTAAAAAAAAAAATAAGGGTTTAATTTTCATTTTGCTCCTGGAGTTTGCTTTGAGAAAGTGATAGAAGTAATCT